TAAAATTATTGGAGCATGGCAAACAATTGTGCATAAGCATTTTCTTGTTGAACAAGTAAAGGTTCAGTCCACCATAAATTATTTATTAAATAATTAGAGTTCATGTCAGGATGAATTTTACCATATTCATATCTAATAATACAATTGTGAAGAATGATTCCATAAGGTAAATTACGTTTGCATGCCTTGCAATACGTGTGAATGTGATGATTTTCAACATCACAAAAGTCAGTGCATTTAGAGCCTCCCTTGGTAATTGGTTAGTTTGCAATTACTTGCTTGACTTTAATGTTTTCCTTGTAAATTTCGATCATTTCATTTTTTGAACATTGATATCCAACAGTAATCAATAAGTGATTTTCAAATTGATTCATTAATTCTTACTCAAAATAAGATTCACTATCGTTTTCTTTCATGCTATTTTCTGGTGAAGAAATATGCCATTGAATTTCTTTTTCTTCTAATTCATCATAGCTTTCATCAGTTTGTACAGAAATCATGTAAGTTTTCATAATTTCGTCAGAATCTTCATTATTGTCAGAATCAATTCTGGATAAGGCGTCAGCATTTGCATTATTTTTGCCTAAACGATGTTAAACTTAAAATGTATACTGCTGAAGATTTAATAATCATCTAGCTCTTTTGGTTCGATTTTTTACAGTTGAAGTTTGTAACCATTTCAATGCTGCATTATCAGTTACCAAAATAAAAGATTTTAAGGAAGTGTAGTGATGAAAATATTCAACTGCCTAGTTGATCGCTAAACATTCTAATTCTTGGGCGCTATAATTTTGTTCATATATATTAAGGGTTCTACTTGCATAGGAAATTACTTTTTCTTTTCCTTGATCATCCTTTTGTGCGAGTACAACTCCTAATCCAATTCCTGAGACATCAGTGAATAGATAAAACATTTTATCAAAGTCTGGGTATTCTAATATTAGAGCTTACATCAGTTTTCCTTTTAAGATTTCAAATGCATATTGACATTCTTTAGTCTAGTCATATTCAACTTCTTTCTTTGTCAAGTTATTTAAAGGTTTGGTAATTTTTGAGAAATCCTTGATAAATTTTCGGTAATATGAAACCAATCCAATAAATCCTTTAATTTGTCTCACATTCTTTGGTACAGGGAACTCTTGAACTTTCTCTATTTTCTGGGGGTCTGGTAAGATTCCATACTCATTAATTTTATGTTCTAAGAATCGTAATACTCTTTTAAACATTTTACATTTCTCCTTATTTAATGCTAAATTCGCTTTCCTTAGCTTATGAAAGAGCATTTGAAGGTATTCACAATGTTCTTCAAAACTGTTTGAATAAATAATAATATCATCAATGAAAACTGCTATAAATCTGTCAATATATTCTTCTAATACTTTATTCATTGTTTTCTGAAAGGTTGCTGAAGCGTTACATAAACCAAAAGGCATAACATTAAATTCATAATGTCCTTCTTTAATCACGAATGCAGTTTTCTCTCTATCCTTAGGATTCATTTCAATTTGCTAAAATCCATTAGCTAAGTCAAATGTTGAAAACCATTTTGCTCCATTTAAGTTTTCTAGAATTTCATTAATTCTAGGTAAAAAATAGGCAACTTCTCTTGTGAGCTTGTTGAGTCCTCTATAATCAATATATAATCTTTTCTTTCCATTTGCTTTCTTTACAAGAATTGCAGGTGATGTCTATGAACTGTCAGATGCTTGAATAATTCCTGCACAAAGCATCTTCTTAATTTCTCCATCAATAAATTCCTGTTCTTCCTTTATCGTTTGATAATAATTTTTTCTAATCAGATCAGCATTTCTTGTATTAATTTTATGTCAAATTACATTGGTTCTTCCAACTCTAGTTGATTATCCAGTTTTAGAAATGTTGGTGACAAATCTGTCTTTATTTTCCTCCATCAGGATATCAATTTTCTTTGTTGCTTTGGAGTCACAACTTCTTCTTTAATCATTTCAGCTTGCATAATTTCTGCAAGACTATTAGGCAAGTTATTATATACAATTCGATCTAATATTTCATTGATAAATGTCATGTAGGTTGGGGTAGTTTTTCCTTGTTTAGCTATCTCTTCATATTTCAAGAAGCTAATATGAATCCAAGGTCTATTTTTATCTTTCTCAGTTTGTTGTAACTTAGTTCCTTTAGGAATCTTTGTTTCGTACACATTGCAATTGAATTCTGGATCATTGAATAAGTATTCTAAGTCTTCTTCCTTGACCTTTATTCCAGTTTCTTCTTCAGTTTCTCGTACTGCTGCTTTCATTGAGTTTTCATTTCCTTTTACTTTTCCCCCAGGAAATTGTCACATTCCATACGTAACTTCTTCTTTTCTGATCGAGAGAAATATACTGTCTTTATCGTATAGTATATTGAATATATATTTAAGATGATTAACTTCCTCTTCATATGTTTCTACTTCATCAGGCCAAGATTGATTTGAATTCTTTTCCCAAGTTTCATTTTAGAGGTCTGTATCTTCTTCTTGTTCTTCAATCTCAACAATGTAACTATCTGTTTCTTCTTCATCATCATATTCTAATCCTTGTTCAATCATTTCATTGAGTTCATCCTCAATAGTTACAGCTCTAATTCTTCTTCTAACTACGCATTATACTGGGACTATAGCTTTATCCAATCCAAAGGTGAGAATTATTTCATTATTTTCAAAGTCGACGTTAACTTTGTTTTTCTTACACTAATCGATTTCTAGCAATAAGGTTTGATCAGTTGAGTCAATGACTTGAAAAGTCATCTTAATAAGAATTCCTTGAATGATTAATGGCACATTTTTAATTGTTTCTAGTGCTTTTTCTCTCTGTCCATTTGCAGTAACAATGATTATTTATGAAGGTTCATCAATGTCTAATCCAAGTTTTTTTATTAATTTGTGCGTCATAATGCTCACTGCAGCTCCTGTGTCAATGATAGCAGTTACAGGATTTTTCTTAATTTTAACATGACATCTCAATATTATAGTTTGTTCTTCTCCTTCTGGAGTACTGGTGAATGCTGCATTTCCTTTCAATTTGGATCTTCTCATTCCTTAAAGGAGTTTTTGTTGCTGTAATCTAAATTGCATCATTTGTCCCATATTAACATTGGCTTTAATGTTTACAAGGTCATTCCAAATGTTATAAGGTTCAATATTATCCAAAAGTGATGGTTCTCTAGGTATTTTCTTCTTAGGCTTAGTAGTATTATCCACTACTATTTGAGGTATTTGTTCAGTTATCATTAGTTCATTAATTGTTTGAGATCGAGTTCGTCTGGTATTAGTTTCTCTTTGTGATTCAGATCTTTTCCTCCTAATCGCTAGGAAGACTTCTTGTTCAAGCATGTTTACTTCCTTTCTGTTTTGATCATCATTTCGGGTTCTCCAGTTCTCTTAAGGTAGAACTTTTTCTAAAAGATATCGTCTGGCTATATAATCTTTTTCTCCACATCTGAAACAGATTAATTCTTTTCTTGGTTTGCCTTCAGGATTGTAACTTTTTCTTTCAACTGAATTAGTGGTTAATGCGGCCATAATATTTACTTGGTTCAGAGCCATTTGCTCAAATTGTTTAGACAATTTTTCAATGTCATCTTCAACTTTTTGCTTGCTAAATTCGTGTTCTGTTGCATAATATCTTCCAGCTTTAACAGTTTTAGCTTGAGTAATAACAGCGTCTAAATTAGCTGGGTTATGAATTACGACTAAGGTTGCTAATTTCTTATTTAATCCACTCAAGAACATTCACACTTTAAAGGCATCTGGAATTCCTCCTGCATCTACTCTATTTGCTAACTTTTTAAATCTAGATGTATAAGTTTCAACCTTTTCATTTCCTTGTTTCAGGTTCATTAATTCATATTGCTATCTGTGTAATTTCTCTTGCGATGAGAAGCGTGCTAAATATCTTTCTCTAAATCCTATATTTGCATCTCCGTCACATCTGGTAATTGTATTGCTTACCAAATTATACCAGTCAGCTGCTTCTTCTCTTAATATTCCTGCTACAATTGCTACTCTTCTATTGTCTGACCATCCATTAGCTTCTTTTGCCCTTAAGAATATTTCAATCCATTCTTGAGCATCTTCGCTATCTTTTCTATAGAAAGGGTCAACTTTTACAATAGAACTTCTTACTGCTAGTGGTATTGGAATATTAATACCATTAAATCTATTGGTCATACTAGTTGTAATTTGCGTTATCAATACAGTGAGTTGGTCTGCTGTCATAGCCATATTTGCAAGATTTGGTAGAGGGATTACTCTGTTACTAAAGTGATTAGTGTTATGTGAGGTGATAAGTATATGTTGATATATTACTTCTGGTTTAAAGTAACACGTAAATCTAAGGCTAAATACTAAAGATATTGCTACTTTTGCTGCTTGTTCTGTGTCAAGACTATGAGGGTTATTAATGTCAAAATACTGTTCTATTTCTTCAAAATATTGTTCACTTAGAGATGAATATGTATATGCTCGATACTGTTAGTGAATCTACTGATAGAATCTTTAAAATTGAATACTTAGGTTTTCAGATGGTCAATGACAAATTCTACAAGACTTATCAAACGATTTTATGAGGTGTATACGCCCTAGATATTTGAAGTGATCGTCTGAGTATTGTTTTTTTATTTTACTATATAGGTCACAATTCATATACTAGTAGAAATTTCTAAGATGATCCAATAAGTCTCTTCTGATTTCTAATAGATTGTTCCTATCTTTATGTAGGTCGAATAAGTGGTTATTAAGAGCTTTTAATCCTTTCTTAACTTCCTGTTTGATTAGATAGATTACGTCAAGTGGTAATTTACTTCTTTTGTGAGTAACTAATCCTCTAGTTCCTCCTCTAACGTCAGGATAGATGTAAATATAACTAAGAAGTTCTGTGAGGGTATCCAATTATTGTTGTAATTCTCTGGTTTCTACAAAGATTTCAATGTCAATTTCTTTCAAGTGGTTGGTTGTGTTGTTGATATTCTTTTCTAACCTTAACAATTCTTGAATACTCATGTAAATCATACTGAATTATTATTTCCGATTCTTATAAGAAACACCAAAATGTCACAATGGTTTTGTGGCTTCAAATAAAATCTCAAAAGGGATAAATAAAACTAAGATAATTACTTAAGAAATCACGGGTGAGGATTCATAATAATGTCAAAGAGTTATTCTCAATATAAATCACATGAGGTAAACGCAAAATAAACTCAAAGTTAACTCAAAGATATTTCAGAAATTACGTTTTAGAGACTCTAAGTCAATATAGCAAATTAATACAATATCATATAAGAAGTTTACTAACGAAAGGGATTGTACGAATGTAAAGGTCTCAGATAATTTATAACAGTTTCAAGGGTTTGTGAAGGATAAGTTTTATACTTGGTTAATTATACTCTTTTATTAATATAATATATAAGTTCGATATCTAAAAGATTAACATCTCATCAGTGTTGAGACTCAAAGAAAATACAGAGATATTTATACATGTTGAATAATTAATAAAAT